GTTTCAACTGTTTTTGTCCATATAATAGACAAATGAACATTGGACCCCATTGACTTTCCTTGTAAGGACCAAAACAACCACAGACATTTTTTTTTATATTTTGTTTTGTGCTTGACAGAAGAAAGAAAGTCACACAGAACGACATGATTTGAGTAAATTATGACACAATTTCGGAGTAAACTATCACTTTAGGATATTTTGTTTTGCCAGGGTGAGAGAAACATTTGGAAATTGCTTGTGAATGAACACTGAATGTGACAATTTTTGTTGACATTTCAGCTGGAAGTGGAAGGTGGGTAACTCCAGGAGAATGAGAGTGAGAATTAGCCAACCATTCGCTTAAGTCACAGAATACGCTGTAACTTCAACAAGTTATCATTTTTATTTCAAGCATAATTGCCAGTCTGTAGCCTATATTTGCTGCACTCCTTATTTTAGCTTAAAATAATCCTTTTTAAAAGTTAAACCCATGATAAAAACAAGTAGCAGTTAGAAGAGAAAAGTTCACCACAGAGCATTTCATGTGAATCCAAAAACCTCCATGATGTATTCCATCGGCTTACAAGGGTACATTTATATTTATGTTCTTAGCTAACATCAAGGTGTTTGTTGATATGCCGTAGAACTGCCAAGAGAATTTAGTCCTTCACAGGAGTGATGAGTCCATGAGCCTGCGAGGTACATGCTGAGCTGAGCATATAGCTGACTTCAGCTGGACTGCACACACTCTTTCATTAAGATGGGATGAAAACACACAAATGAACAGTGACAGTCACTACACTATAAGTTTTCAAAAGGGGGTTTTCGCAGCAATGCCATAAAAGAACCATTTCTGTTTCCTCAAAGAACCTTTCAGTCAACAGTTCTTAAAAACAAAAAAAAATTCTTAGCACGAATAACTTTCTTTAAATTTTTTATCTGAAGAGCATTTTTCCATTATGAAGCTTTTGTGCAATGGGCAGTTCCCATGGATATTAAAAGTTCCACATGGACCCATAGAAGTCAACAAAGAACCTTTATTTTTAAGAGTGTAGAACGAAAGATATTCACACTATCAACAAGAAACTGTAAAAACTTAAATCTATCTATTTATCTATCTATTTTATATTTAACTTTTTTTAAATATAAAAGATATAAGTTCTATCTATATCACGTTATCACACATTATTTCTTACATGATTATATATATATATACACACATAAGAAATATACACATATATAAATAATTTTTAATACCTGTGTATAAAACAAACTAATACACATTAAATTTTTTTAATGAAGCAATGACATTATTAAAGGACCCTAAAAATTTGAATCTATCTATCTATCTATCTATCTATCGTCTGTCTGTCCGTCCGTCCGTCCGTCCGTCCGTCCGTCCGTCCATTATCTATCTATATGTCTGTCTGTCTGTCTGTCCATCTGTCTATCCGTCTGTTTGTCTATCTATCTATCTATCGTACATTATATAAATAATATATATTCTTATAAGAGAAAAAAACATTTATAAAGAGTTTTCTTATAAATATATATTAAAATAAATAATTGTAATAACAATACAGTTTTACATTTTTTTCAATAGTAGTATTAAAAGACACTTTATTTAAAAAAAAAAATAAATTAAGGTACTCCATTAAATTATGATTGATTAAAGTAATTAGTTAAATTGAGGTTATTGTATCCACTTCATTTTTAAATGCGGAAGTAAGCCGTTTTCTGTGAATGTGTGAGACTTCCGGTTCATTAGCCACTGTAGGGAAATAACCAAGAAGAATAACGAAGTGCAGTAAACTGTAAAACCGTTTGCTCTACAAACCAGTGTTCATAATTAAGATAATACATTAAAATAATATGGTAAGACACACCAGTTTGCAATATCAAGCAGCAAAACGAGCTGGTTTGTACAGCTAAAAATAGCTGGAAGTAGATGACACCAAGCCAGGCACATTAAATTTACTAATGGCTGCGCCCGCTCTTATAAAAAAAAAAAAAAAAGGGGAATAAAGAGTTGAAATTGGTTTTGTTGGCATTTACTTTAAATGGAAGGACTTGCAATTAAACACAGAGTTGGAAGATTTCTTTCTATGCCTTTAAGAGAAACCCCATCTCTCCCTTTTTGCTCTGGTGGCACCTATTCATGTACCCTGATTTTCTTGGACAAAATCAATACCTCCATTTCCAAGAAACTTCCCTCATATCCTCTAAATAATCCAACCACTCATCCTAACTTAAATAAACCATAGCAATCAATAAGGCAACTTCAGCCAAGATGCTGCATTGGCCTGTCTTTAATGAGCTCCACTCTCTGTGTGTACACAGCCCTATTTCCTCGGCAGCTCATGCAACTGTCTGCACACATGTTATCGGCACGCTTTGCTCCCCATCGTTATTTTCGTCCTTGTCTCTGTTTGCCATGACCCACCTCATCGCCTGACCCCTCTGCTGTCTGTCGCATAGTGAAAGCTCTCTTCACCTTAGGCCAATTAGTGTCAACTAGACACCAACAACATCAGTGACTTCTGGCTAGATAATTAAAACTAAATGGAAGGTGCATCTTGAGAAAAAACGCCACTTCCGGTGACTGTGCCGGGACCTTTTGCCATCTCTTTCAGTGGCTATTAACACTGTGCACACCACAATACTTTATAGTGAATTGATGTCACCATCCAGTAGTTTTGCACAAGTACTAGTGATCTAAAGAAAAT